ATCGTGCGGGGGTGGGGGAGATGGCTGAGATCAGGGTTGCGCTCCTGCAGGAAAGACAAGTGTGATCTCGGCCATCTTCCCCCTGCCCCCAGCACGATCACAGCCATCTCCCCACTTGGGGGGGGGGTGAGGAAATGGCCGCGATCACAGTTGCCACCCAATGCGGAGTTCGCAACCTGAGTCAAAATTTTTATGAAATTTTTGTTTGTGACCCGATTTGGTTGTGAACTGAGGCATTCGTGAGCCAAGGTTCCACTGTAATGTTATAGGTTTACTTTGTTATAGCTTGTGTTGGGGAAGTATATAACAGGTGCTGGGATGCTTTGGGCTTTGAGTGGCAACTTAATTGTAAATTTTGTGCAAATGAAATAGGTTCCTAGCATTACTCTAGATCTTTTCTGGTTTCTAATTTGTAGTAGAAAATACACACTTGTTTCAAGTCTTTCTTTGTGCTTATAATGGGAATGAAAGAAAACTTGAAGTATCTACTGCATTCTACCCAGCAGGATATCTGTTCTTTCTGATATGATTGTAAACTGCAGTCATAATTGATTTTTAAGCTTTATCAGCACAACTCATTAGGCACAACTCCTGCACAAATCCAATCAAAGTGAATGGAAGTTGCATAGAACACCGTTTATGTTCCCCTGTAACTTCCAACAAAGGAATTTCAGTGAGTAATTCTCTATCTAGACTACAGTTGGCCTTGCCCTTATCATCCTAACCAGATCACTAGGTTACAGGATCCACTGCTCAGATTGCCCAATGACATGGAGATAGATAGTTTACAAATAGCTGGAAATACATCTCTTCATTTTTATCTGCAAGGCGGCGTTAAGTTTTCATGTAGCCAATCTAGGCATTTTTCATATTAAATAATGCAAATGTTTGTAGAAAGAATTTTAGGAATTGTCAATTCATTGTTTGATTTTTAACAGCACTGTAAAAAGTCGACATGATTAAATGACCTGTGGCTTATACTGGATTGTAGCAAACAAGCAAGCTTGTTTCTCCCCAGATTTGGCAATAAATGGTCCAGCTGCTTTCTCAGCCAGTCTGAATGTGGCCTTTCCCACCACCCATTTGACAGTTGGGGATTGCTTTTAAGCTGCTAGAGGCTGTTCTTCAGTGCAAGTTGCTTATCCAGAAAAAGCGACTCTCATATGAAGCATTTGAGATGAACAAGCTGTACCTGAGAAGATTGTTTGTGTCTGAGTGGGGAGCCTCTCCACTGCAGAGGACCCTTGGGGGAAGAGGAGTCTCTGTGGGGGTGGGAGCTTCTTTTCCACCAGCAGATTTCATAGGTGCACCTAATTAGCCAGTAGGAATAGGAGACGTTTATAAACCTCTGCAATCCCTCGTTCCCTTTGGGAGCTTTGCGTAGCCAGAGGTAGCCCTGTTGGGGCTCCCTTACACTGAACAAAACATTTGTATACACCCAGGGTTTGGGAGACATTTGTAAGCCTCTACTGATCTCTGACTGCTCTTTATAGCTTTACAACAGCTAAGAGAGGCCTGAGTGTGGCTACTTTTGGCCAAGGAAAGCAATTATTTTCAGGTACACATTGGGGAGGCTTTAAACCCTACGATACCTGCTTCCCACAGCTAGAAGAGAGTCTTGCTTGCGGGAGGGGGGATGCCTGAGTGAATGAATAAGCCAAGAATTGCACGAGTTAGAGAAAAAATGGGGGCTTCAGTGGTGCTGCCTCATGCTTCTCCTCTGTCGCATTTTTCCCAACAGTGCAAGTAGAATGACCCTCAGAGAATAAAAGAGGATAATTAATATAAGCTCATTCCTTCTTGAGAGGTGCGGTACAAGCCCAGCACTCTTTCTTTCCATTTCTAGTTGAAATTTTAGCTTTACAAAAACAAATTTGGTATGAGATAATTTTTTGTCCAGGCAAAGAAGGATTGATACCACTGGCTTATAAGCTGTAAAAAACAAACAAACATTTAGCTACCAGGAATACATGGGGTAAAGAGACCAGCTTTGATTCCTTGAATTGGAGTCTGCAGTATGAAGTACTATGTTGTTATAATTTCAGTTTCCCACCTGTAATTTCTTCCCCCCTACCCAATTCATTTTCACATCTGTGATCTCCTAAAAATATAGAGATGCTGTTCAAAATTTAAGATTTCTAGTTCTCCAACCTATGGAAGGAAGCAGATATTGGGAGTTTAGTGTGCGTTAAACTATTTAGACCTTGAAGTGCTTAGAACTGCTTCATAGCAATTCTTCATATATCAGCAAGGTTCTGGTGTCCTTGGCTGAAGAGAGGACAGTGTTCTGCCCTCTAATTAAATTGTGCACTCTTCCCAAAACAGAAAGATCAGCACCCACTTCAATGCACTGGGGGCTTCCACCAAGGTTTCAATTCCTCCAAGCAGTGATGGGTAAAACAATATTTTTTCTGTGTAATAACTAACTACACAGGACACTTCATTGTACTCTGGTTGTGTCATGAATCCCAGTGCAAAAGAGTAGCAGCAGGAGGAGCCAAAACAAAGCTCCTCCAAACACAAACAATCTGTTTGCATGTTACACCATGCTGTAATGTTGCTGTCATCAGACTTGCACTCTACTCTCTTCTTCATGTGACCTGATTCCTAGCTCACAGAATATCTTACTCCCTGTCTCACAGAAAATCATAATTCTCTGTTACATTGAACCAGGTACTCCAGTTTGATGCTTACCACTGAGTAGAAATGAAAAGGCTTAGTATATGGGACACTCTTTGAAAGTGCTGCTGAATGAGTCAATGCTGCTTCCTTAAGAGCAGATAAATGAAAGCCTTGCCTTGCGTTTTTCTGAGTGGGCTTAAAATCAGTGGTAAAACCATTTTGGTTGTGCCTATTCTGCCTCTGGCCATTCCCACACAACCCGAGACCTTTCTCGGATTGGAGTTTGGACCTTAGCTTTAAAAAGTACCTCTTACCTACAGGAAACCACTGGAAACAATTTTACAGAGAATTTGTGCCATCAGTTTGCTGAAAATTGTCAGTTATATTCTCTTTTCCATCTAAATGAGGTGAAGTAGTAGAGAAGATAAAGTTGGAACTAAATCCAGTTAAGATAGAGCAGGGATCTCCAACGTGACATCCACTGCACTGATGAGGCCAGGCTGAGGTGCCTGCTAAGCTATTTCCCATCTCTGCAAGCAAAATGAGTGATTCGTTTATTCACTTTCATGGGGAGGGGGCAAAGTGCCCCTGTTGAAAGTGAGATGACCAGCAAAGTCCACCCTCTATCAAGGAAAAGTGGGAGGTCTTTCCCCTTTCCCCTCCAGTAGTATTAAAACCACTGGAGCAATTATCCATTGGCTTTAATGGGTAGAAGTGGGATGACAGGAAGGAAGGACAGATGGACAGAAGGAAAGAGGATCCAGAGAGTGGGGGGGAGAGAGAAAAAGAACCAGAATGATAGACAGATGGACAGAAAGAAAGCAAGAGGAACCAGAGATAGAAAAAAAAGTAGGAGCCAAAGAGGGAAGCTAAATTATAGCCACATTGTTGAACCAAGACTCATTAGAATGAGTATATTACATCTGAATATAAAGATCTTAAAATGGCTTCCAGTTTACACCTGGGCATAATACAGAATGCATGTAGTGCTCTATAAAGCTCTAAATAGTCTGGGAAATTGTATCAGAAGTGTAGTCTTCTCCTGAATGAAACAGTCCATCATCTGAGACTGCCATTGAAAGTCTTTCCCTAATGCTCAACTTTCAAAGTTTAGGTGGGTGGCTACTGGAGAAGGGTTATCCCCCCGCCACCCCGTGATTGTGCCCTGACTATAAAACTCCCTTTATGGGATATTTGCCTGCTCATTTCTCTCTCTTAGGCACTAGGTGACATCTGCCCCTTTTGTGTTACCCTTGTTGTAGGTTTATTATACTTTTATTGGTGGCTTGAATTAGTTATTTTGGCTTTATTTAATCACTTCCAGCATATTTGTTTTTGCCTGATGTTCAGTGATGTGTTCTTCTCTTTACTCGCTGCTTTATGACTTATTTATTGATATTGTATTATAGTAGATTTGTTGTTTTTAATTACTTTTGTAGCTACCTTCAGTATGATTTGTTAGTAGAAAAGTGACAGAAACATGTTTCAAACGAATAATGGTATCAGTTAAACTTTAAGATCATCCAGAAAACATGATCAACTTTATTTCTACCTGACTGCGTCAAACAGGTGAGTTAGCATGGCCCCTTCCTTTCACCTGGCTTATGACAGACTGGAACATCTACAACTGCCCAAGACAGACTGGGTACACACAACATGACAGCACTCCATGGGCAGCCAACCCTGGCAGGTAGTCATGTCATCTGAATCCAAAACGTTTTGCACAGGGGGCGATACTTTTTATGAAGACAAGCTATGTAGGCAAACCAAGGCTTATTATATAGTTGTTCTTTCTTGCAATCAGTTGCTGTGTCATCCAAACCTGGGAAACCTATTGCCATGATCAGCTAAGGAGCTGCTTGGGAAGACTAGTAAGGAAGCCAGTGCTGATGTTTTTTCCACTGATGGCAAATGGCACTTTGGAAAGGCTATCACTTGTTCCTCAACCTTTTTTCAGTGCTCCAAATGTATAATTAGGCTCATGATTTTTTTATTGGTCTTTTGCAAATGCACCCTTACAGCTGTCCAGTATGAGTATGGACAAGTCAAGTTTGCCTGTCAGCTTATTTGCACACAGTTATGAAGACCCAGGGAGAAGTAACAGTAAAAGAACAGAGGGACCTTATCGCACAAGTCAGAAACTTGAGGAGAGGGGTGAGAGAAGCAAGTGCACCAAGAAAAGTCAATATTTCCTTCTTGGTGACATGATTCTCTTGGTTTTCACTGTCTTCCATCTTTAAGTATTCCCCTGCAGGTACTCCAGAAATGTGAGAAATTACTCTCCCCCCCCCCCACTGCCTTTACTGCAGGTGTCAAAATTTTGCATCTATTTACTTCCCAGCCATTAATTTTGCCTATATGTATGCGTTCTTTTTAGAATTGCCAGTGAACCATAAGAAGTGCTGCAGACAGAGCAGGTGGGGGAAGTTGAGCTCACCTTTTGGCAGGAGCTGAAGACTTGGGAAAGTGGAAAAGGTGGAGAGTACTGAGAACTGTCAGTTCAACACAAATTCAACATATTTACCCCCCTGTCTTTTTGGTGATCTTCTTTCGCTGTTTTTTCACACTTTGCTGATGCTTTTCAATCGATAACTTGGCAATTGGCCTCTGGCAAATGTGCCAAAATTAGCCTATATGTAGTCTTGCCTTGTCAGTCCGTTGCTTACTTCACGTTGCCACTTCTTTTGACGGCTGAAACAAAGCAAGTAATTGACAAAGGAAGATTGCATGTATTGCACAGCTGCAAGAATACACATACAGCTGTGCAATTTTCAAGGCCAAAAACCTTAGAAAACAGAAATGGCCCTAGTAGTGCAATTTTGAAGCCCCAGGGAACCCCCGCCCCACAAACAGCAGCAACCCAGACAAGCTAGTGATCAGAGTGGGGAGGGGAGATAGGGTGGGTTTTGCTACAGAGTACACTGGGATTTCTGCTGAAACCAGCTGGAGGACTTAGTGAAGAGGTGGAGGAGAACAACCCACTGCGGCTTATTTTCAGACTAGATTAGCATGATGTGCAATGCACGCATTATGTTGCTCATTTTCTTCTTCTCTCCCTGTCCTTTTTTAATTATATTTTAGCCTGAGTACATTAGCAGAATGATTGTATATTGATAATCATAGTGGTGGTGGTAGTGGTGGTGCCACTATAAATAATTCTGCACTTCCAGAACAGATAAATTTTTTAACCCGTTTTCCAATTAATATTGTGGATAAGTCCCCTAGCTGAAGTGGGACTCTTGTCTATGCAATCTGTTGCTGGAGGACACGTGAGCTTCTCACTGGTCTCCATATGTAATCAAATGCAGTGGATGAATCCTGAGATAGTAAAGTGTACTGGAGGAGGGAAAGACCACTTTTGAAATTTCCTTCATGTGGAAAACAAAAACCAAAAGTACCACATTATAGGGAAATTTCTACCATAAAGAGAGGGTTTTATAGACAAGTGGAAGGCAAAGGGAACATGATGGATCTTGCCTCCCAGAAAGGAGTTCTGTAGCTTAGGTGTGGCCACATAAAAAGCTCCTCTCCTGGTTTTCAGTGCCTCCCTGGTTGACATAATCTAAAGGCAGAGTTGAGGATCGACATCGCAATGATATGTGAGCCCTGACCTCCACATTACTTCTTCCAGAGGTATCATGTACAACTTAAAATCATGAGAGACAAGCAAAAAACCTCTAACAGCCCCATAGGCCAAAGGGCATAGGATGAAACTCCAGCACTACTTCCTAGGAGCACCAGAAAGAACCAGAACCTATGTCATACCATGTCCTGCTGTGGTGACATGTCCCAGAAAATACCATAGATAATGGTATCAAGAGCTGCTGAAGGGTCCAGAGTCCAGTAAATAGGTTTGCAAACTTCCTGTATCTCCATGCACAGGTCATCTACCACAGCAATCAAGACAGTTTCAGTCCTGAAACCAAATCAGATATCAAACTGGAACAGAGGTAAATATTTAAAATAATTCGGAGCTACCTGGAATTAAGTCTGCAGCATCTACTCTAAAATCTTTCCCCCAAAAGGCAATTTTGAGATGACATTATATTTGAGTATCTAAACTAAAAATTTTAGATGAGTATCTAAAGTAATTTTTTTCAGAAGAAGCCGCACAGTTGCCTTCTTTGAAACTGAGGGCATTTAGCCACTTCTGAGACCCATTTAAATTAAGTTACCTTTGTCATCTTTATTTAGCCTGGAAGGGCAAGAGTGAAGAAGACTGGTAGTCTTCCAATCTCAGACCTCCATGCAATCTGTCTACACTGTCAGGCTGCAGAATCTGAAAAGTATCCATAACAATCTGACCAGCTGCTACACTGCCTGCATTCATTTCTGATTCTGTTACTGTTACAGAGTGCAAAACACAGCAGATGCAAGCAGTTTCTGTCTGCAAAATGTAGTGCAAACCTGTCACAGCAGCCTCCAAGGACTCAATCAGTCGCTTTTCTGGGCCTTTTCTGGGAATGAAATAAGCCCACCCCTCAGAAAACTCCCACGGATGACATTGTGCAAATGTAGTTGTGGCAGAGATGTATGCTTTCTTTGTTACCAGTGCCTCTGGCCCTGATATAGGTTCTAGTATATTGCCCACCCCTGTAATATATGAACCAGGAATCATGACTGAAAACAAACACTCATTTATTAAACGAGTCAGCTAAAGAATGAGTTGTTTGTAGTTGTCTGCTATTGAGCAGAGTCAATGCAGGGTTTGTAGTTGTCTGCAACTTAGTAGAGTTTTTCTTAACTATGATATATAACAGCAATCCAGTAACTGGGGAAAGCCAAACTGGGTAAGTTGTCTTCCCAGTCACATGGGAGGAGCGAAGGAAGTGTGCACTGCTGCATCCAAGTAGCGCTGAACTATGGTTTATCCTTGCCTGTGAACATGACTTTTTGTTGAGAACCACAGTATCTAAAGTAGATATAGTCAGAAGAAGCCACATAGTTGCCTTCCTTGAAACTGATGGCATTTAGCTACTTCTAAGACGCACTAACTCCTTCATGGATCACTGCCTTGTCGTGGCCAAGGGGCTTGCATAGCCCAATGAAGCTATGAGCGATGCCGTGCAGGGCCACCCAAGATGGACAGTCATAGCAGAGAGCTCTGACAAAACGTGATCCACTGGAGAAGGAAATGGCAACCCGCTCCAGTATCTTTGCCATGAAAACCCCATGGACAAAAGGCAAAAAGATATGATGCTGGAAGATGAGCCCCTCAGGTCCGAAGGTGTCCAATATACTACTGGGGAAGAGCGGAGGGCTAGTACTAGTCGCGCCAGAAAGAATGAAGCGACTGGGTCAAAGCCGAAAGGACACTCAGTTGCAGATGTATCTGGTGGTGAAAGGAAGGTCCGATTCTGCAAAGATCTATACTGCATAGAAACCTGGAATGTAAAATCCATGAATCAAGGCAAGCTGGATGTGGTCAAACAAAAGATGACAAGACTGAACATCGACATCTTAGGAATCAGTGAACTAAAATGGACAGGAATGGGTAAATTTAATTCAGATGACCATCAGGTATACTACTGAGGGCAAGAATCCCTCAGAAGAAATGGAGCAGCCTTCATAGTCAATCAAAGAGTAGAAAAAGCAGTACTGGGATACAATCTCCAAAATGACAGAATGATCTGAGTTCAAATCCAAGGCAAACCATTCAACATCACAGTAGTCCAAGTCTATGCCCCAACCACTGGTGCTGAAGAGGCTGAAGTTGACCGGTTCTATGAAGGCCTACAACACATTCTAGAATTAACACCAAAAATGATGTCCTTATCATCATGGGGGATTGGAATGCTAAAGTAGGAAGCCAAAAGTTAACTGGAATAACAGGCAAGTTTGGCCTTGGAGTACAAAATGAAGCAGGACACAGGCTGGTAGAATTTTGTCAAGAGAATACGATGGTCATACCAAACACTCTTTTCCAACAACCCAAGAGACAACTCTACACATGACCTCACCAGATGGTCAACACAAAAGTCAGATTGACTATGTGCTCTGTAGCCAAAGATGGAGAAGCTGTATACAGTCAGTAAAAACTAGACCAGGAGCTGACTGTGGCTCAGATCATGAGCTTCTGGTTGCAAAATTTAGGGTTACATTGAAGAAAGTAGGGAAAAGCACTAGGCTACTCAGGTATGACCTAAATCATATCCCTGATGAATATACAGTGGAGGTGACAACTAGATTTAAGGAATTAGATCTGGTAGACAGAGTGCCTGAAGAACTATGGACGGAGGTTCGCAACATTGTACAAGAGGTGGCAACTAAAACCATCCCAAAGAATAAGAAATGCAAGAAAGCAAAATGGCTGTCTGAGGAAGCTTTACAAATAGCTGAGGAAAGAAGGGAAGCGAAAGGCAAGGGAGAAAGAGAAAGATACACCCAATTAAATGCAGAATTCCAGAGAATACCTAGAAGAGATAAGAATGCCTTCTTAAATGAACAGTGCAAACAAATAGAAGAAAACAATAGAGTAGGGAAGACCAGAGATCTCTTCAAGAAAATTGGAGATATGAAGGGAACGTTTCATGCATAATGGACCAAAATGCCAGGGACCTAACAGAGGCAGAAGAGATTAAGAAGAGATGGCAAGATTACACAAAGGAACTGTACAAGAAAGAGCTTAACATCCCTGATAACCACGATGGGGTGGTCACTGACCTTGAGCCAGACATCCTGGAATGTGAAGTCAAATGGGCCTTAGGAAGTCTGAGCAACAACAAAGCTAGTGCAGGTGACAGTATTCCAGCTGAGCTATTCAAAATCTTAAAAGACGATGCTGTAAAAGTGCTACATTCAATATGTCAGCAAATTTGGAAAACTCAGCAGTGGCCACAGGATTGGAAAAGGTCAGTTTACATTCCGATCCCAAAGAAGGGCAATGCCAAAGAATGTTCAAACTACTGCACCATTGCACTCATTTCACATACT